ATAGTTACAAGGTACGTTTCTACAAACATAGTATACAATGTACTGATTCTACAACATATTATATCAAGCTACTGTCTTCAATGTAGTATACAACAAGGTAACTGTCTACAACATATTATAACAAGGTACTGATCTACAACATAGAATACAAGTAGTGTTCTACAACATAGTATACAAGGTAAACTGTTACTACAATGTATAATACAAGGTACGTGGTTCTACCAACATAGTTATACAAGGTACTGGTTTCTGGCAACATAGTATACAAAAAAAAAAGGACTGTTACGTACAACATCAGTATACAATGTACATGTTCTACAACATAGTATAATCAAAGGTACTGTATCCGCAACAACTGTACAAGGTACTGTTCCTACAACATAGTATAACAAGGCACTGTTCAACATGTGAGGATACAAGTACTGTTTCTACAACATAGTATACAAGTTACGTTCTACAACAATAGTATACTAGGTAACTGTTTTTCCTACAATGATAGTATGAACAAGGACTTTTCTTCGAACGATAGTAATACAAGGAAGTTTAAACAATGTAGTATACAAGGTACTGTTCTACAACATAGTATACAAAGGTACTGTCCTATAACTAGTATACATAGGTACGAGTTCTACAATGTTAGCAACAAGTACTGTCTACAGATGTAGTATAACAACAAGAGTACTGTTTTACAATGTAGTATACAAGGGTTCCGTTCTAGACAAACATAGTTATGCAAAGTACTGTTTTCTAAACATAGTAAACAAGGTACTGTTCTACCATATAGTATACAATTTACTGTTCTACAACATAAGTATAGCAAGGTTCTGTTCTACAATGTAGTATACAAGTACTTTTCTCAACATAGTATACAAGGTACTGTTCCTACAACATAGTATACAAGGTACTGATCTAGCAACATAGTATACAAGTACTGTTCTACATGTTCAGTATACAAGGTACTGTTCTACATTTAGTAAAACAAGGTACTGTTTCTACCAACACAGTAACAAGGTACTTGTTCTACAACATAGTATACAAGGTACTGGTTCACCACATAGTATACAAGGTACTGTTCTTTTCTACAATGTAGTATACAAGGTACTGTTCTTCAACATTGTCTAACAAGGTAGTTTTTGTGTTACTGTTCTACAATGTATATACAAGGTACCTGTCTACAACATAGTATCCAGGTACTGCTCTTCAACATAGTATACAAGGTACTGTTCTACAATGAGTATACAGGTACTGTTTCTACAATGTAGTATACAAAAGTACTGTTCTACAACATTGTATACCAAGGTCTGTTCAAAACAATGTAGTATACAAGTACTGTTTCTTCAACATTGTATAAAGTACTGTTCTACAATGTAGTATACAATAACTGTTCTACAACATAGTATACAAGTAACTGCATCTACAACATAGTATACAAAGGTACTGTCTACAACATAAGTTAAAGGTACTGTTCTACAACATAGTATACAAGGTACTGTTCTAACACCATCGGTAAACTAGGTAACTGTTCCTACAATGTAGTATACAGGTATCTGTTCTACAACATAGTAATACAAGGTACTGTTCTACAACGTCATTGAAACAAGGTACTGTTCTACATGTAGTATAACAAGGTCACTGCGTTCACAACAAATATACAAGGTACGTTCTACAACCTAGTATACAACGGTTCTGTTCTAAAATGTAGTATCAAGTGGGGTACTGATTCTTCAACATAGTATACAAGGTATCTGTTCTACAACGTAGAATACAAGTTACTGTTCTACAACAATGTAATACAAAATGTCTCAACTGTTCTAACAACATAGTATACAAGTTAACTGTTTTCTACAATGTAGTATACAAGTACCTGTTCTACATGTAGTATACAAGGTACTGTTCTAACCGACATAGTAGTACAAGGTACTGTTTCTACAACATAGTATACAAGGTACTGTTCTACAACTTAGTATACAAGGTACTGTTCTACACATCGTATACACAGGTACTGTTCTACAATGTAGTAATACAAGGTGGACTGTTTCAACAACATAGAATACAAGGTACTGTATCTAGCAATGTAGTATACAATGTACTGTTCTACAATGTAGGTATACAAGGTACTGTTCTACAATGTAGTATACAAGTACTGTTCTACAACAATAGTATACAAGGTATCTGTTCCTTCAACATAGTATACAATACTTGTTCTACAATGTGTATACAATTTACTGTTCTACAATGAGGTATACAAGGTAATGTCTACAACATAGTATACAAGTGTACTGTTCTACAACAAGTATAAGAGTCCTGTTCTACAACATAGTGTACAAGGTACTGTTACTTCAACATAGTATACAAGTTACTGTTCTACAAATAGTATAACAAGGTACTGTTCTACAACATAGTATACAAGTACTGGTTCTACAGTGTAGTATACAAGGACTGTACTAGCAACAATAGTATACAAGGTACTGTTCTACAACATAGTATAATCAAGGAACTGTTCTAAGTGTAGTATACAAGGTACTGTACAACAACATAGTTAACAAGGTACTGTTCTAGCACAACATATTATACAAGGTAAAGTTCCTACAAAAGTAGATAGCAAGGTATCTGTTCTACAACATAGTATACAATGACTGTTCTAACAACATAGAATACAAGGTACTGTTTCTACAATGTATATACACGGTAATGTTCTACCACATAAGTATACAAGGTACTGTTCTACAACATAGTAATACAAGGTACAGGTTCGCTACAATGTGAGTATCAAGGAACTGATCTACCAACATAGTATACAAGGTACTGTTCTCAATTTTAGTAACAAGGTACTGTTTCTACAACAAATTAATACAGATGTACTGTTTCTACAACATAGTATACAAGGAACATGTTCTCACATAGTATACAATTACTGTCTGAACAACATAGTATACAAGTACTGTTCTTCAACATAGGTAATACAAAGGTACAGTATTCTGGCAATGTAGTATACAAGGTAATTCGTTCTACAATGAGTATACAAGGTACTAGTTCTACAACATAGTATACAAGGACTGTTTATCTAAACAAGTATACAAGGTACAGTTCTATGTTCTACAACATAGTATACATGTACTGTTTCTACAACATAGTATAACAAGGTACTGTTCTACAACATGGACATACAAGGTACTAGTTTCTACCAATGTAGTATACAAGGAACTGTTCTACAACATAGGAATACAAGGTAAACATTTTCTACAACATAGTATACAAGGTAACTGTTCTACAACATAGTATAACAATGGTACTGTGTCTACAAGGCATAGTAATGACAAGGAACTGTTCTACAATGTAGTATACAAGGTACTGTTTTCATACAACATAGTTATACAAGTTACTGTTCTACAAACATAGTATACAAGGTACTGTTTCTACAACATAGTATACAAGGTACTGTCTACAATGTAGTATACAAGGTACTGTTCTACAACCATATAAAGCAATTGTAACTGTTCTACAACATAGTAAGCAAGGTACTGTTCTCAACATAGTAATACAAGTGGACTGTTCTACAACATAGTAATAACAAGGTACTGTTCTACAACATAGTATACAAGGTACTGTTCTACAACATAGTATACAAGGTACTGTTCTACAACATAGTATACAAGGTACTGTTCTACAACATAGTATACAAGGTAATGTTCTACAACATAGTATACAAGGTACTGTTCTACAACATAGTATACAAGGTACTGTTCTACAATGTAGTATACAAGGTACTGTTCTACAACATAGTATACAAGGTACTGTTCTACAACATAGTATACAAGGTACTGTTCTACAACATAGTATACAAGGTACTGTTCTACAATGTAGTATACAAGGTACTGTTCTACAACATAGTATACAAGGTACTGTTCTACAACATAGTATACAAGGTACTGTTCTACAACATAGTATACAAGGTACTGTTCTACAACATAGTATACAAGGTACTGTTCTACAACATAGTATACAAGGTACTGTTCTACAACATAGTATACAAGGTACTGTTCTACAACATAGTATACAAGGTACTGTTCTACAACATAGTATACAAGGTACTGTTCTACAACATAGTATACAAGGTACTGTTCTACAACATAGTATACAAGGTACTGTTCTACAACATAGTATACAAGGTACTGTTCTACAATGTAGATATTCCTCTACTTTTACATTCCGTTTGGACATGTAATGATTATTGTATTTTATTGTTCCAGCATGTGTACTGGAACAACCTGCCCTTCATCATCATCTTTGCCATTGTTCCAGCATGTGTACTGGAACAACCTGCCCTTCATCATCTTTGTCTTTGTTCCAGCATGTGTACTGGAACAACCTGCCCTTCATCATCATCTTTGCCTTTGTTCCAGCATGTGTACTGGAACAACCTGCCCTTCATCATCATCTTTGCCTTTGTTCCAGCATGTGTACTGGAACAACCTGCCCTTCATCATCATCTTTGTCTTTGTTCCAGCATGTGTACTGGAACAACCTGCCCTTCATCATCATCTTTGCCTTTGTTCCAGCATGTGTACTGGAACAACCTGCCCTTCATCATCATCTTTGTCATTGTTCCAGCATGTGTACTGGAACAACCTGCCCTTCATCATCATCTTTGCCTTTGTTCCAGCATGTGTACTGGAACAACCTGCCCTTCATCATCATCTTTGCCTTTGTTCCAGCATGTGTACTGGAACAACCTGCCCTTCATCATCTTTGTCATTGTTTCAGCATGTGTACTGGAACAACTTGCCCTTCATCTTTGTCTTTGTTCCAGCATGTGTACTGGAACAACCTGCCCTTCATCTTTGTCTTTGTTCCATCATGTGTACTGGAACAACCTACACTTCATCATCATCTTTGTCTTTGTTCCAGCATGTGTACTGGAACAACCTGCCCTTCATCTTTGTCTTTGTTCCAGCATGTGTACTGGAACAACCTGCCCTTCATCTTTGTCTTTGTTCCAGCATGTGTACTGGAACAACCTGCCCTTGGTCATCATCTTTGTCATTGGATTTATTGGCTTTATAAATGCGTCATTGCTGCCGGAGACACTGGATGCTGACCTTCCTCAGTCACTTCTCCAAGCTGACAAGTTCCTTACTGGTGACAAATACTGGTCATATAAGGGAAGACGCTGCTGGTCTGGCAAAGTTCGGGTTATGGAGAGTAATGAACAAGGTCATACAAATCTTGCTATTTCTGAAGATTAAATTATTTCTAGCTAATCTAACAATTTAGTTAAATATTTTAATTATCAGAAGCTGTGCACAGTAACACTGTCGAGTTTAGGCTGCATGTATTTATGTTTTAGGAAATTTCTTTAATCAGCATGTTTGTGCAGCTTTGAAACTGCAAAATAAAATCAGATATTTTTCAAATTACAGCACTGAAGACAACATCAACTTTCTTTGAATTACTAATCCCTCAAAGTATTTTTAAAATACGATAACCTACCCAACCCAACTTGGCTTATTTCCGCTGGAGTCATTCATCCTTTACTTCACGAATTCATCCAAAACAATCAACTAATTCCTA